GACACGCCGATTATCGGCCAGTCCATCTCGATTATTGAGACTTCATTACGATATCGCGAATCCGAGACGCGAGGCGGCGCTTCGTAATTACTTTCGATTTCAAGCCCGACCAGGTAAGACCGATCGCATAAAGCGGGCCGAAGGAGCGCGGATTAGAATGTTTGATGAATTCCCGACGTGGCCCGAAGGAGCCCCAACCGTTTCCTGCCGTTTAAAGCGAACGAGTCGAATCGGTTTAACGAGTTTAAGGAGTTGTTCATTTTGTTCGATTAGCAAATTTCGAATCAATATTCCGCTTCGTTACTTGAATTTTACACTTGTTTGATTTCCCGACTGGCTATGACATTCCCCGAATCTTGTCTTCCCTTCAACCAGCGTAAATCCACAGAACTTGAGACGAACTAGATGTTTTTATTCTCATTATAATATTCAGTATAATTTTTAATTTTAAGATCTTTCTGATGTTGGTCGTGAATGAAATGAATAATTCAATAATACATTTGGATGATTTTAAGAAAGATATAAAAAGAATATATCAAGTGTCAGTGAACATCCAATGTCGTCAGTTCATAACAATCAACTTGACGAATATTTTATTGAAGAAAGAGATATCGTATTCTTCCTGTTAAAATCAGCTTTTCATAATCCGTAAAACAAGGAATTCATTCTTAATATCCTGCCAGATTTTATAATTCGTCACGAATCTCGTTGTCTGATCTTGGAAACTTAAGACGCAGCGTCGATGGATGTGTGGCTGCCGGTTCTTCGTGCTTCTCGGAAGTCAAGTGGTTGAGAGACAACTTGATATTAGTATCTTGGCAGATAATTTGGGCACGGGCCGCCCACGAATGATACCTCTTATCGATCATCCAGTTCCGCGAACCGGCAGCCGTCGAGATAGTCAAAGATTACCCCTCGTACGCCCATGACGTTCGATAACTCGGCATTTTCGTGCATGAAATAATTTAGGGGCGTGCATAATAAAAAAGATTTCGGGGATATGTTTGTTCCCGTCCCTGTTTCTGGATCTTGTCTTTGATTCGCAGACGATATAAAAAATGCAACAATAGACTCGTTGTCTCGTGGAAAATTATTTAAAGGGTAGAAAGATGAGAATTATTTAAAGATTAGAAGAGAAAGATTAGCGGCCTTCGTAGAAAAGTGTGAATTAGCCTTGTTACCACCACGGGTTCACGAACGATATTCGGCGCGATGAAACACTTCATCATCTCGACCGACGTCGCTGGGACCATACAATTCAATCCCGACCGACACTCATAATGATTCTGTCTCCATGGACCAGAACCGGGGGCTGACTCTCGCGGGTCTAGTTACCCCTGGGGGTCATCGGGGCGAGCGACACTTAGTCAAGGAGAGAAGGGTCAGCCTTCGTTCGGTAGTTGCGAGCCGGCACGTCGACGACGAGAGCCTCGGCTCGTAAAATCGTAAAACTGTGGTGTGAGGGCGAGACAAAATCACCGTGACTGCGCGAGAACTCAGCGCATGAAAAATAAGAGAGTCGCGAGAAATGAAGTCTGCTGAACGAGAAACTCGATCGCAATGATTCCAGTTTTCCTTTTTTAAATTTTATATTTTTACTGAAATTATCTGTAAAGTCGAAATAATTTCAAGAAATTTTCTAAAGACATTAGATTAGGCTAAGACACTATAAATCGTGTAAGCATGTTTTTAAAAGAGTAATCGTGCGAGAAAAAATTACTATTAGTAGATGTGTCATGCTGATGCGCTTTTTTATCTTTTAACATTGTTGCAGAAAACTCGATCTGACTTAATAAGAATCACTGGCGCACAATACAACGGCTAACAGCTTCACATGTGCCTGCAATATTCCATATCGCGTGCGTAGTATTGACACCCGATCGAATCGAGAGACGAGTATCGAGTGAGGAAGCGAGACGGCGAAGAGCAAATCAACTCGAACCAAAAGACCCACTCGCGAGCCAGTCTGAGGAGCGCGACGAATATGAAGCGGGGGTGGATGAGGGAACACGGTGGCTGCAGGAGCAGGCAGACGGGACGTAGAAAGGCCTCGGGAACAATGGGTCCGGTGTGCAGTTCGCGTCTCGGTTACCGCTCGACCGTACCGCTTAGCACGTAACACGACACCCGAGGACGGCGCACGAGCGTACACACACACACACACAGACACACATACAC